TCCTCCGAGTGAGGGCGAGTTACAGTGGCAGAGAATGTAGATATCTGGCCCCAAACTGTACACGAGTTGCGAGTATTGATCACGTCGTCGGCGCGACGTTCTGGCGCGGCCATCTTTAGAGGAAAGAGGAAATCGTTCGCAAAATTGATGCGCACTTTTCTCCCGATGCGGCAAATACCATGTGAAAATTTTTCGAGCCACGAAGATGCGTCTCTTTACTAGGATAACGATAATAAACTGGCTCAGAAAGTAACGCATATCTTACGAATCCGTTTGTCAAATAACTAAATTAAAATTGAAATAAAAATGAAAAATATCTTTTTTTATTTAAACTACTAATTTTTTAAATAAACTTTTGTATAAATTTTTGAATATACTCATCTATTTGTAGATTAACTTATAGAAAAAATATTTACATTAATAATATTATATAATTTTTCTTATTTATTTCTCACGCGGGAAAATGAAAATTGTCATTTTTATAAGATTTTTGCATCCCAACACATTTCATTTGCGAACCAAAAACCACTTATTTCGATTTTTTGTCTAATTTTATCGAACTTTTTATAAAGGGAATTTAAAAAAAATTAATTTTTGATTATAGTAAAGAAATCTGTGTATGTGTCTCGCATTTTTTCCGAAAATATCTATCTCGCTCGTCGTTCCACGATGATGTATCGAGTGCGGAAATCGCGCAAGCCCTAGAAAACAGACTCGAGTAACCCGACACGCGTGTAGATCGTGTATGGTATATAGTGTTTTCTCAGAGTGTCACGCACGATCTCCCGCTAAAGGTGTGAGTCAGATTATGAAAATGTATCGAGCGCGGGGCGTTTAAAGAGCGTTGAAAAACGCTAACGACATGTTTGAGGTAAATCGACTCGGACAGAAATGGAGTCACGAGTGTGTCTGACTCCGTGGTATCGACGCGCTATTATCGTGCAATTATACACGGTTCGATGCAGACGGCGTATAGCTGTCTCCTCGTCGCGTCGCGATCGTACTCTCGTACAGATGAATGAATCTCGAACGATGATGAACGTAAATCTTTCTTGGAAGCGATCCATAATGCATCCCGCGAACCTCTGTCTTATCGCATCGATAACACATTTAAACACCACGTTCCACTATCAGTAATGCGCGATCGTATCATTACACACATGTTTCGTAGCGAGAATAACCGTGTATCTTACAAAACCTCCTTCGTCCTCTAATCTTTCTCAACTAAATATCTCGCTCATGTATACGATTGCATGATTCACAAATGGATTTAATACTCGAGTAAATATTCCCGATAGAAAAATGAGATTCTATAATTTATGAATATCCGTGATATCTTCGCATATTTTCTTTTTTTGCGAGAAGTGATAACAGTGGTAACAGTTTGCAATTATCCATGATCTTACTCAATATCAAGTGAGAATAACGCGGTTATCAGCTCGGCTGTGCCTGATACGTCGATTTAAATTCGCGGATATGTACTATAGCGATGCTCGATAATGTATTCCGCGGACACGTGCATGTGCGTGAGTAATAAGTTTATGCACCGGGCGTTGCGTGCCCGAGCGGGACATACGAGCCGCTTTGGCAACTTGATTCATCCACCTATGACATACAACAAAATCTCGATTACTTTATGATTCAGTATAAAAACACTTTCATCTAATGCATTCGACAAATGTAAACATTGGTACGGCGGTCTCGCGTTGCGAAACTCTAACGCAAATAGTATAGATTTCTTATATAATTATTATTAATATTATAATTTGACACTATAAATATTAAACCTTGCTTTTATCTTTGCTTAAAATATTGTTAATAAACAAAATATTGGATATTAAAATATTGTGTATTAGTAATTATATTGCTATTTAGATAAGACATCTTGTATTATGACTGAAAAAATGATGAAAATAATTTAGAAATTACAAAACAGACAATTTCTCGGTGATTTTCTTTGATTTACTACTTATTCACTGAATCAAATTTGATATCGATTATTTTAGATTATTGGAATGTTTAGATTATTAGGATATTTCTAACTTTGAAATATTTAAAGCCTGATAAAAGATTGCAGAGATACCTACATATTGATATGTCATACATTTCATTATTAATTATTGGAGAATTGATGTTAAAAGAATAGTGTTATGAAATAAAATAAATGATAAACAGTACATACAATGTATACTTATCATAGATATAAAGTTTGCAATTATTTTGTATTAAAAATGCTATTTTATATTATTTTCTTAAATATTTGTTTTACAGTTATATCATCGATCGATAGAGCGGGTGTGCCATTTCTTGATGCACCCGGTAATTATTCGTGACCTCGTGTAATTATCATTGCTGATAAAGCTGCGATAATTTTCATCGGTTATCGAACGCGAGTATTGGTACAACTGTTACGTAAAACAAGAGAAAGAAAAACAGAGAGAGAGAGAGAGAGAAAGAGAAAGAGAGAACTTACTTTTCTTTTATAAATTAGAATTTATAATGTTGCCTGTGCTTTTATTTCATTTTGTTATCGTAATTGCATATTCGGTTCTTAAATATTCAAATGTTTCTCAATAATATAAATAGTCAGAAAGTAAAACAATTTGTACAAATCGCGAGAATCAAGTTCGATTAATATTCGAATGAATTAATGAATTGCTCTTCGTAGCAATACTAATTTCGATCTCAGTTTTTTTTTCATCTAAAGGTTAACAACTAATATGAGTGGAAATTTTTGAAATATGTTAAAATGAAAGACGAAACTAGTTCCGTTACAGAGAGTAATTGAATAAAATTATGCGAAAATTAATAAAGTTGTTGCACGTGGTCAATTAAATTGCGCTGAATTTAAATTGAAACTTTAATCTTTTCATTAACAGTTTTATTGTTGTTTTAATTACATAAAATTGAATAATTTTGCTTTGTAATATAAACTTTTTATAATTTTTTGCAAAGAATTTATGTTTTGATCGTATCAAGACATAGGTGCCTATCTTTTCAACTCACTTAACACGGAACGATGGGAATAAGAGTGACATAAATAAATTAAGCGATCTATTACTGCGGATTAGCATATTCTACATCACTGCAATACAAATCGCTATAGCCATTAAAATAATTAAAACGTTGATGCGTAAACGTTGATGCGTAATACGTGTTTTTATATATCGAATTAATCACTACAAATGGAAAAATTTGCGCAACGGTATTCGCGGAAGATTATCACGGAAGCGTATCCCGTTCACATTTCGGTTTTCTTCCATTTCCAGCATTCCCATCTCACTCTCTCATACTTCTTTACTCTCTATCTCTCTTCTTCTCGCTGTTCACCGCATCCGTTGTCACGCTTCCTGTCCGGACGATAAGGAAAAAAGAGCCGATAAGTTGTTACTCGAGAATTACATATTCGTCTGCATGTTTTTCTAGGTCAAACGCGCAGGTTTTCTTCTCGCGAGATAGAGGGGAGAGGAATTACAGCGCACCGGTAAGATAATGATTCACGCGGTTTCATTTTATCTCGTATATATACTGGAAACGTACTCCGCTCCAAGTCGTTCGATTGATCAATTAGGACTGAAGGGGCAAAGATTTTTTGTCTTGGTTGACCAATCAAACACTGTGTAAAAAATTCAGGATCCAAGTAGTGCGGATATGGTGGTTTCGAGACGGCAAAGACGTGTAACCGTGTGACGCGATGTTTGATTCGCGACCGGTTCATTTGTCGATTGTCATTCGACCGGCATGGTTTCGTCGATTCCGTCTTTCTTAAGAGACCTCGTCGAGAAACGAAGTTCGCAGTTGTGTGCAATAAAACACGCGGATCATAGTGCGATCGATCAGGACGATCGACCTGGTTCGGGCGAGTGCCAATCAGTTATATATAAAGTGCAAACGATGGAGAAGTTAAACGTGTTTGCTCATTTCAAGAAATACACGATACGAAACGATCGCGATGCGACACTTTTGTTGATGAATAGTGCAGAAAACGGGGTGAATTGTGCATCAGGTGAGGCGAGTCCATCACTCGAATTAATTAATTAAATTCGGCTGTCTCTTTATATATGACGCGTGCGCGAAGAATTTTAAATAAATTAATATTCTCATCACGATAGCGTGAAACTGAAGAAAAACTGAATTAATCCGTGCATCTAGAAGAGACAATTAAAGTAGATTAACTAGAGACACTCTTCTTAAGAGCTTCGATCTTATAAACATTTCTCCTTTTTTACTCGTTAGTGTTAATTTGGGTAGAAATCTTATCAATGCGACAAAAAATAAGTCCTTTTTAAAAATATATATAAAAAAATTAATATTTATTTGTGTTTCTTAATAAATATAATACAAACCTGATATTATATAATACAAAAAATGTAATGAAAGATATAATGAAACAAGAGATCAATCAAATTTAATATTAATCGATAATTGTATATTTTTGAATTCTGAAGCTAGGATTTTTTTCTTCACGTTTTACGTAAAGAAATTAAAATCCACAGCTATTTTCGCGTTTTGTCATTTAAAATACGTTGTGCTTCTAGCATCGAGTGTGGCCAGCTCTCGAATGTTATTCGCGAGATGTACCTTTTATCTAGCTCTTCACGAGTACGTCCCTCTATTGACATTCAATTTCTCATCCGCTTAGCGAAATCCTGCCTGAATCGCGGAGACCTTGCGGTCGCTAAATACTCCGACGCACGCACGATTATTCATGAATATCAGGCGTGATATGTTTCTTCCTCAATTCAGCAACAACGTTCGCCACATTTACAACACAGACGATCGCGTCAAGGTTTCCGCGGAACGCGCGCGCGGCACACATTTTTTTCGCACATTCGCACATTGCGAGGGCTGCAGCTGTGCCACGTGTGGCGATTCAATTCGCACATTTCTGCATTGTCCCCGTCATCCGTTGCTATCCTCCCGTCACCCTCGCGATGCAACGATCGATCATGCGCACATCGTTGACGCGAAATTGAATTATTAATAGACGTTTGCGTATATGAATATACACTTGTAAATGTCGCCTTTACAGTGCTCTCTTAATTGCACGCTTAATTGTGGAGAACCTTTGGAGTTACGGCTCGACCATTCGTCGCGGAGACGGTGCTGTATAGAAATTTTATTTCAATCGTATCAACTAGGCGATTCGTCCATCGTTGACTGCAGTAAAAGATATGATGAAAGGTCAATTTTGGTTCAACCTTTTTTTAAAAAGAGATAAGAGCTGGCGATCAACTAGATAAGAGTTTTAGACCTTCTAAGATACGCAGTGGTACTTTGTGATGTACGACCCTTTGTGGTGTTAACATCAAGACTCCCGAAAGTGGTCAGTGATTTCTCGTGCAATTGGTTCCAGAAAGCATAAATTTTGTTTATGTGTGTGATGTCATTTGTACGAGATCATTCGAGGTACGTTGCAAATCTTTGACTGAGGATCTAAACAATTATTTTTACTACGGAGAGTAAAATTAAAGAGAAGTATACTTTCCATAAAAACTTAATGACTCATACTAATTTAAGTTCCCTTACTTAGACAAGGAATAGAATTCTCACAGAGAAAAGATAAATTTCAAATTCCTTTAAATTTAGAATTCCCTGCTATTTTCGAAACATTAGGTATAAAAAAAATGCGAGACGCATTGCGGTAAAGTTGATTCCGACTTTTGACAAAATCGATTGAATGAAGAAACCATTATCGGACTTTAAGGCTTTGTCACGGATATGTTCAATCAATTTGCCGTTTCAATTCGCCGTTTTTTTGCTCGTCCGCTCGTTTCTTTATTTCTCGTCTTTCATTTCCACACGCTGGATTACATTTACTATTGAAATTATTAGAGCTTGACGAAGGAAAGGAGGCAAAAAGTCGGATCAAACATTTAAGATTACGTAATTTTATGTATGCGTTTATCTAATATCTTGTTCCTTGTCTCATTTCTATTATACGGTTACTATCCAAACTACTAGAGCTTGATAAATAAAAAAGGACAAACAAGAGTCAGATTAAAGAATTAGGATATTTGCAATATTAATATACAAGGAGTTAAAAGAAAGGATCTTCGAGATTTTAAAGTGGTATTTGCTAAATTAAATAAAAAGTGTTTAGTCAACATAGATTAATATTGAGTAATAATAAGTATTTTAGAAGATGATAGTAATAACAATCATGTTTAGTTTTGCATTCATTCGAGAAAAAAACAATTACATGATATATGCGGGCTATTACTCAATAGAGTAAAGAGATCTTCGACATCTTTTGCTTGACTGAACCAATTAGCGAACCCCGATGATCACGCTTATAGATAATTGCGATAAGCGGCCTATATTATTGCTAATATATACTTAACTTTTCTTCTTTGGCTACTCACGATCCGTTTTATATTTTAGAATTGCTATAATAATCCATTATCATGGCAAAACTACAAGTAATAGTAAACATTTATATTATTATTTTTGACACTCGATTCTTTGAAATTGATAAAAAATAGGAGGGAGAATAATTAATATCGAAAATTATCATTGTTTTAATCATAATAGAAAATCGATTTTTAGATAATAATAATGCAACTTTTTATTCTTTTTCTAGCTTTTAACATCTAATATTATTCCGTGATTACAAATTTCAGCAGATGTTTCGGAAAATATTGTGCGATATAGTCGGTAGTGTCGAATGTTTAAAAATAACGTTCGGAATTTTTGGCCATCTTTTTTTTATTTATTGTTCCGATGCATCTTGCTGAAATGCGGGCGCGTAGAATGAAAGCATTAATTGGATTAAGGCCGAGCGGATACTCGTTCAACTTAATTACTTGCGTAGCCGTCAGTTTGCATTAACCATTGTAGTTGCGCTAAATTCTATTAAATTCCCCTTACTTTGTAACCGCTCCATCTCCATTGCGAGACAAACTTCGTCAACTATATCTTATAGAGAATACGGGGCCCACATGCATCATACACAAATATATAATTGCGTTTTATTCATTTTTCTTCTATGAATTTCTTAATCATTTCTTTCGGTAAAAATCTTTTTCTTTCATTATAGTCTGCTTCATCGAAGTCCTCGACATTCAGTGCTCGTGTATGGAATTTCGTAGTTCTAATTTTAGCAAAACCGTGATTCACACTAAACATCCGCGGATTTCGCAAGCTGTTTTGTACTATGAGGCGGGGATCCGGTCGCACTAAAATCATGTTGCATGGTAATATTTCGCGCTGAAAGAATCAATTGTATTTTTTATAATGTAAACAAGTTTAATAATACGTTACTTAAAAATTATAAACAATATATTTGAGTGGAATTTAATTTTTTTATTTTATTAACATACAAATAAATATTTAATAGCAAAAAAACTTGCAGTATTTGAATAAATAATTTGAAAAGTTTTATATTAGAATAAAAAATAATATACATTTGTTTTGAGATTGCAATGTTCATGCTAATACTCTAAGTTAATCTTATCATGTTATACAATGTTATAGTTATGATTTAAGATAAAAGATATATATAACGGAGTAATATGTTGAAAGAAAATAACTTTGTTTATATCAACTATTACACTGCTGTCAATATTTTAATAATTTTATTTTTATCTTTGTAACTCATGATATCGAACATGTAACTTGCGTACAATTTTTCTTTGCAACACTTAATGCAGTTATACGCACAATCAATAATGTTTACGAGTATATATGTATCCGTGATGTCTATTTCAATGAGCCACTCCTCGACTCATATAACACACGCGTACATTGAAATTCTTACAGCGGTGCGATGATTAATAATGGGGCACATACTGATGCCCTCTCTTTACCATGAATTATTGCCACGTTAATACGAAGTGATGTGTGACATGCGTGATGCACGAATGTAGACCTGTAAAATATGAATTTTTATTGACTTTGTTCAAGATATTTGCAATAACACGGTATCAGAGTGCACAATGATTCATACAATCGTTTGCATGTTTCTCGATATCAGGAATGCTCACGTATCGATCTTTTCTTCTTTAGAATTTTGCGATACAATTATTAATTTTTTCATTTTTTTAAATATCCCATTATACAAGCGATATTTATTTAATTATTCTGTTCGACAAATTTTCCGTGCATATGAAAAAGAAGTTACATCACGGAGTATCACGGAGCTGTTGTTATTTCGCGAACGAACGTACATGCTGGATGACAATGTCTTGTATTTTTGCACCGCATAAGCTGTAACGAACTTGAGATCTCGACTTTTCAAACGGACTCATTCACGGCCGTTCCTGAATATCATTAGTGTCTTCCTGTATCTTACGTCGTCAAAGAGACCAGTCGATTACGATCGTTTAGCGCACGCGGCAATTATCCATTCGAACCACGACGTTTCAGCTGTTCGACGATTAACACCTTCCGATATTCCCGGACGATCGGCGCGTATCCGCGTTCCTCGCAATGACGGAATTGTTCTATCTACCGGAAATCCCCTTAAGCGCACACGGTGTGTAAAAGGACGTGCTTGTTCTTTTCTTGTGTCGTTGCGGACAACGATATTCACATCCCAGCCTTGTTATAAAAAAAAAAATATTATTTTCTTCATCTCCGAGATGAATAATTTTAATAAAAAATTTGCGCGTTAGATATTTGTAATAAAAGAAAAGTTTTCGGGCAAGAAGCAAACTATTGTACAAATAATTCTGAGAAAAATTACATTTTTGTAGGTTTCATCGTGTTAAGTTTTATCGCCAAGAAGGCTTGAACGATCGCTCGATGTCGTGCGGACGATAACGCATTCTTCGACACTCGTCTCGAGTTCGGAGCACAATAAACAGACCCTGTCCCTTGGCTCCTACAGAGTGTAGCTTCGCGGTATCGATAAGGTCCCTCTTGCCGGACACGATTCCCCGACGCCTTTTAAACGGTCTCTCACGCACGCGGTCGACGATATGTTTATAAACTATTATTATTGCAGTCGATGAAATCCAAACACGCGTATTTATATTAACCGATTCCTCTGAGAGGGTCTGAGTCATTTTTTTATTATTGGGGAACAACATAGATCGATCTGTCAGTCGAGCGGAATTTCTCGTTCCGAAAGGACTACTCTCCCCGACTTTCTCGTCGAATCGATGTGTGTTATTCATCAACGATATCGATGAATGAACAAAGTGTTTCCTAGCGAGTGTGACAAAGGCATTTCGATTTCTATTTCGATTTCATGAAATAATTATGTATAAAGAAGAGTTTTATGTGTAAAAGAAATTGTTAGTATTTTTTTCAAGAGAGTAAGTTATAAGTTTTTTAAATGCAATTTGTTTTAAGATGGTTAATATGTGTGTGTGAAAAGATTAAACGCTACGTCAAAATAAATCGTATTCAGCGGTGTATAATAAATAATTAATAGCTGCAATTTATTTCTTTTTTAACTACATTCTTTGCTCCGTTTTATACTTATAATTAAGAACAAATAAAACAGATGTATTTAAGCCTCGAATTTGAGAATAAAAAAATTACAGAGAAACATATAAAAAGACGCGGTTTTTGAGAAAAAGAGAAGAGAAGATTCATTATCGATGATGAGACTTGCAAAATAAAGATTTGCAAATCTAGTTCAAAACAGAGACGCGTACTTTGTGTATAGAGTTTATTAGAGTATAAAAGTTTAGAGTTATAAAAGAGAATTACGGCCGGCTGAACGCGGTTGCTATCAAACATTCTTCACTGTTTTGTCAATAGAGCGGCATCTCACTCATGTTAACGTCGCTTAGTGTTAGTATCAATTTCATTGATGTGATACAGTGCATCTCCCACACTGCGGAATAAAAAGTTAGTAGCTGCGTTTGCTTTTGAAATCAATGTTTGGGTTCGATAACTTTACGAGTCCAGCTGATACAAAGTATGAATGCAATATAATATGTATATCAACAAAGTATATATCAAGAAAATCGCTGTGTATAATTTTCAAGTCATTCAAATCTGAAATATAGTCGATGCAACATACTATTTTTGTTCTATTCATCTATTATTTTTATTATTTTTTTTTTGTTATTTATAATCGGAATATACTTATCGTTTAAAGAGATAAATCTCACTTTTATAACTTATTTTTATTACATGTTTAAATCAAAGAAATTAAAAAATTTTTTTAATTAAATCAAATAATTTTGTAAATTTTTTACAAGTCTTTAATAATGTCTATATGTCAATTTAGTCATCTGAAGAGTTTATACCAAGAATTCTTTTTTCGTATAAGTGATAAGCTTATTTGTTGCAAGAATTGCACAAGAATATCTACATTTAATATACTTTTATCTGGACTTTCGTAGAATTACTCGCAAGCATTTCTTTTGCAAGATTGTATGAATCGATTTCTCGTTCTTTCTGCTCAATATATCTTATAATAATATTTGTTTAATTTTATATAATATTACTTGGAGACACTTACATATTGTGTTATCTATCTATATATCATTAAAAAATCAATAAGTAATTACAACACAAGTCCAATCTTCTGCAAACACATTGCCAAACCCATGTGTGAATTAGATACTATGTAACATTGGCACAGCAGTCGATGCAAAGTAAACAGTGATGGTCGATAAAACGCGCAAAAATCAGCCCATTGAACCGCCCTGAGATAGCGATTCCATGAATCATGAACAGTCCCATCGCAAGCAAGAATGCCCTTACAGAAAAAAAAAAAAAAAATAGAAATAGAATATAACGCTATCGATGATGGATGTAATGTGGTGCAAGCGCGCAACGATGCAACATGCTGCATTTGCAGGACAAGAATAATAAAATAATTTATTTAGACAGTTGTGTTATTTTATACCAGCGCGTGAGATAGTTTTATTTCATGAAAATTTTTAAACAACTGAACTTTTTTTTGTGTGTTCGCGTGCGCGATATAATAAGGATGTCTAAATAAAATTATACTGTTTTGCGTAGATTCTCGATGCTCTCGTATCCAGTCTAAGAAGGGACGCGAAAAGTCTCGAACAGGACTGCTAAGCAGATTTTACTCTACGATCCAGATCTCGCAATTGATTACGAAGACATCTCACGAGGATCTTCCGATAGACATGTCTCGAGCCCCTCTTATAACGCCTGAGAACAGTTTGCAAACCGCGGATCGTTGCAACGTTGTGATGCTTGAGGTATGCATCTAATGCATAATAAATGTAATTTTTTTTTATTAACGCGAAAATTTTCTTTAAATTATTTATTTATAATGAAAAGATAAAAAAAGCAGTTAAATTTTGTCGAGTAGAATATAATCAAGTTACTAATCAATTAAAATGCCTAAAGCGAAGTAAACTTTAAATTACGCAAAGGCACTGTCATTCTTATTTATGCATGATCTGAAGGAGACATATGTTGTAATAATTGTAATAATTTTTGATACACAGGCTGGATTGCCCGGTGATTCGTGGACATATTGCGTCGAGCGAGAACAACTGGCCAGAAGATCAGAATGGTTTCGGGCGATGCTCACAGGTCCGCTTGCACCACCACCAACGGATTCACCGCCGTTATTGCAGTTGCAACACGTTGACAAGCGAGCGTTTCATCATTTTCTCAGGTATATATATACAGAGCCGTTACTAGGCAGTACGCAATGTACGCTCCAATGTAAGGCGCAAAATTTGGAGGATCGCAAAATTTTAATAGACGCCAACAATTTTTGAAGTGTTCAAAAACATGTGAAAATTGACCGCTTGGTTTGCGATGACTGCCCTTACCTGGCTCGATGCTGCCCGCTTGTAGAACTTTGTTTAACCGAATCTAGGATTTAGCAATCCTATCAATAGAGAAGGAAGTGGACGAAGGAAGGAAGCAATAACCTTGATTACAAGGATATTATAGAAATATTCGCAAAGACTAAGGCCAGAAAACATAATTTTAAATTGCTTTTATCTTAGCTTTTTACAAAATATTATTAAGAAAAAGGATATAAAATATATTAACCCTTGACAATATAAAACAAATACAAAAATAAAAAAATATATATAAAAATTTTAAAATATAAAAAATAAAAAAGAATATAAAAGCAGAAGAAAAACGGAACCATTATCCTGCTACGTCCTCGTCGTGGTTCTGGGTAGCGCTAAAAGCAGGAATTTTGAGACTATTTTTTATTTGCTCTTTTGCAACTTCACGCCGAGGCGCGCGAGCAAATTCCAACGTAGGGGCGTCTAAAACAGTCGTAACGGCATCGTATATATATATAATTTTATCGCTTAACTTATAACTTAAGGTGGAAGATGTGTTCGATGACACTCGTAATAAATGTCTTATTTGAGATTGCTAAGCTAAGCTATTTTTCAATTGCTTTTGTAAATGTTTAGAATCGCGTTAATCAAGATAATCTTGACGAGAATCTTGCATTTTTCGGTTTCTGTTCAGAACGCGAAATATTACCATAATATTATTACAATAGTCAAATTACAGGATAAATTATTTTCACAAAAATAATTTCTTGCTTTGAATCTTTGCTTTTGTTTTTAATAATATGTTCAATCTGTTGCGCAGATATCTTCACGATGAGCCCGTCAATTTTATATCGGTGTCGACAGCTAGGGCTACACTCGACGCGGCTCATCAGTATCTTTGTCCGGGGCTGGCGCAACTCGCCGTGGAATACCTGGAGAATCATCTAACACCATCGACGGTACTTGAGATTTATCAGGGTCTAGGACTCTATGCGAACGATCAGAGAGAGGGGGAAGAAAGTTCCGGTTCGGATAGATCATCAAACTCTCCGACCGTACCACTATCGCCCGGGGATGATGCTGGTGCAATAGGTATGTGTCGCTTTTCTTCTCGTGATTACATACAATTTTCTCTTCGCATTACAATACAATTAAAATTGTAAATAAATATTCGATTCAATTATTATTTGCGTTTATAACGCGCGAATAAAGTTATATAATTAAAGTTATACATAATATACAAAATTGATGTATAATTTAAATTATGTCTTTTCTGTAAAGTCTGAAAAAAGGCAAAAACTAAAAAAGATTTCTTTCCTTCGCTTGTGCCTCGTTTAATTTTTCAGATATTTTATTTTAACTAATATTTTTTCACGCTCTGTGCAGCCGCTGTGTGTACTGATCTTTTGCTCAAGTGCCTGTCTGTGATTGACTCGAATCCGGTGACGGTGCTAAACCAGGAACGTTTCGAAGAACTCAGCATCCAGGAAGTTGCTGAACTAGCGTATCGCGATACTTTAAATCTTGGCAGCGAGTGCATCTTGTTTTCCGCGTTAGACAGGTGGGCCGCGGCTGAATGTAGAAGACAAGGTATCGAACCTCTTCCG